TGACACAGCCGCCAAGCACAGCGTTGCCAGTGGCTCATTATACGAAGCATTAAGGAAACACAACGTTCCGTATACAAAAACCAGAAGTACGATTAAACTTGCAGATGGTACCGTGAAAGAACAGGAAGTAAAACTTCTGAGAGTTGATGTTTTACTAGGAAGTCGTTATATACCAACAACATTTATGACTCTACCCAATGCTGACAAAACCTTACTAGGCATAGATTTCCTTCGAAGTGCTAACCTTGTTCTGGACATCGGACAGCAAAATTGGAGTTTTGCAGACGATATTTTGACTAAGTATCCCTTGGTATATGAAGATGACCACAAAATTTCCAATATAGAAGTACTTTCCGTTTCAATTTTGAGATCAGATGAAGCCATAATGTTATCCAGTGAAGAACATAAGCAGTTATCAGACCTTCTTGAAGCCAACCAGGATATTTTCGCTCTAGGGGGAGAACCAACTCCTTATGCTGAACACTATATTGATACCAAGTCACACGCACCAATTTCAGTACCACCGTACCGAATGACGCCTGGAAACAAAGAAAAACTTCGACAAGAACTAGACAAGATGTTACGAGATGACATTATAGAAGAATGTGAGTCAGCTTGGTCAGCACCGGTAGTACTCGTTCCAAAGAAGAATGGCGAAACTAGGGTATGTTGCGATTACAGAGCTTTGAACGCTATTACGACACCCGTGCATTATCCGTTACCTCGAATGGACGATCTACTGCATGCAACCAAAAAGACTATATACATGTCAGCCATTGATTTACGTGCGGGATATCATCAAGTGAAAGTGCGGGAAACAGATAGAGACAAAACATCGTTCGTGACCCCGTTCGGAACATTTCGGTACCTGGTCATGCCGTTCGGTCTGCGTAACGCACCAGCAACTTTCCAAAAGCTGATCGACAGATTTCGAAGTGGACTTCCATCTATCCTGATACTCGCCTGCCTCGATGACGTGCTGGTGATATCTGAAACGTTTGATCAACATATGACAGACTTAAAACGTGTCTTCGAAAGACTCAGAACGTACAAACTACGTGCGAATCGTGATAAATGTACATTTGCGACTCCCCAAGTAAAATATTTGGGACATTTGATCACCTCTAATGGCATTCAAGTAGATCCAGAGAAAACTTCAGCTATTACGAAGATGCATCCGCCACAAAATGTAAAGCAGGTTCGGTCATTCTTACAATCCGCTTCCTGGTATCGACGGTTCATCGACAGATTTGCTGAATTGTCCAGACCCTTGTCTAATCTTTTGAAGAAAGATGCTACTTGGAACTGGGGACCTGATCAGAAAAACTCATTTGAATCTTTACTAAAAGCTTTAGCTAGTGCATCAGTACTCCAGCAGAACGACCCTAGCAAACCATATGTGCTACGAACTGATGCCTCATCTTACGCCTTAGGCGCGGTCCTAGTTCAATGTGAAGGTTCAGAAGAACATCCTGTCGAATATGCTAGCAGATTACAAACAACCGGTTTCAGTGCTGCTTACCTCAACTTTGCAAGAGAAATGCGAAATGGATGAAGTACAGAATGATCCACGGCCTGTTAGGGAAAATGAAAATTTTATCCCAGAAATAACACCTTACCTGCAAGGAATGTTTACAACGATTAAAGAAGCTAAAGGCCAGCATGAAAAATGTCAAGATCGTCAAAAGAAGTATGCCGATAACTCACGATCGACACCGCCTACTTTTGATGTTGGAGACAAGGTTTTTGTGACGCTACATACGAAGAGTAGTCACACTAAACAGAGTACTACTAAATTTGATCCGAAAAGGGACGGACCATAGACTTAAAATAAAATATAGACTGAGCATCTCATTCATAAATAGCTGGAACATGCGGTCAGACAATGTCTTGTTATTGTTGTGTTATTGTTTTAGGTTATAACGAGTGCGACACGAGCGATAGATAGGTTGTCTCTGTCGTAACGGTCGTTCCCTGACGACTCTGCCGAGAAACACAACACTGTCTTTCGTTTCTCAAGTACACCTGAACTCTCCGTATCATAGCCGGGTAATTTTTTTATTTTAATGAAGCTATAGTTAAATTAAAAATATATCGTATTTAAACTTTTTTATATTTTATTAAGATTTAGGACAGGCTTTTTAAATAAAAGTTTAGAAAAAACGTCTTAGAGTCCAAAAAGGATAAAAATAATAAAATACACGTTATAGAAGAAATTTTATAATCGAAATTACGTAATTTTTGAAATTAATAAAAATTATTAATTTTTGTACATCTTTTAACCGGCCTAGAAAAGACACGAAACTCATTAGATGATCAAAACTATTTTTCCAAGGCTCCTTGATTAAACCTTGATTAAAACTTAGTGTTTTTAACAACACCATGGCACCCTGGATTGAAATTTAAAATACGATTTGTTTTTAAGCGACAATGTCAAAAGTTGACATATGATATGTCATTCTATTCAGAATGTCATTTTTTATCGAATAAAGTAGCAATATACCGAGGGCGCCTTTAAAAATCAAAAGATGTAATCATATCGGTGAAACAGGAAGAGACCAAAAACAATTGAATACGGCAATAAATCCTAATTTATGCCATATACCTACTACCATACAAATCTGCTTTTTTATCTGAAAAAATAAAAAAGTTATAAGGGTGAGCCACTTTTGAGACGACCCGGTATATTAAAAAATATTGTTTCATAATGTAATATCATTTTAAAATTCTTGTATGCTATTTTAGATTCTGAAAATAATTTTAGAATAAACCGGAATATATTTTTAATAAAACATTATTAATTATTAACAGGGTTATAATTATGATTTTGTTACAATGTAAGTAAGTAAATAATGTAATGTAAGAGAAAAAAATCAGATTTTACATTTTACTAAAATATTATCTAAATAAGCGCCTTTCTACAACAACGCCACTGACTCCCAATGGGTAAATTGAGAGTTGCCTACCAGTCGAAAGTCGTTTCAAGACTTAAATGGATTATTTAAGTCAAATTTCTTGCAAATTTGGCACTGGCGAACCATATTTTATAGTTCTTGAACAGAAAAAGTCAATAAAATAGACACTTAAGGACGACAAGCTAAGAAAATGCATTAATACAGCCGGGGACATAGCGGCCACAAAGCTTTAGCGCACACGTGCGACGCGTACTACAAGGTAATAAATGAATGAATAGGCTCCCTCGCCTCTAATCGGTGTTGTCATATTGTAAAGAACTTATCCTTTTTAAACAGTATCCGACTTATAATTTAGTAGTATAAGGACTATTTAATACATCTATGGAATATTAAAACCTGCTTTATTAAACTGTAGTATTAATATCTCAATTTATGTGTATAACAAGAAAAAAATATTGATAATATTAAAGACGTGACAACATAGGCTGGATGAGGAAGGCTCGGTCGACTGTACCCAGAAGTAAATATGTGTACAAAAAAGCTTGTTTGACCGCGTTGAGATGTAAATAGTGTAGTCTATATTTTATTTTAAGTCTATGGGACGGACCCTATGTCATAACTAGACAGGTTTCGCCCGTCTCTTATGAAATTGCCAACATTGATACTCCAGGACAACCTTTAGGCATTTATCACTGTAGCAACATATTCAAGTATCGTGGAGATGACGCTACAGAACCTAAAGTTCCTATCAGAAGAAGAGGCCGCCCGAAGAAAACCAACCACACTAGTGCTGGTCCCTCGACGTTTCAATGTCCACGGAACCAGAGGGGGAGACTGTAACAATATTTTACGGTCGCTATCGGCATAGTGGTCTGCCGCGTCCGGTTTGGGCTGAACCATCGTAGGCCATCGCCGAAGACGACCCTGAGCGCCGTCGTAACGGTCAAGAAGTGGGAGATGCGCGCGAATGGAATTCGGGCCTACGTGCAGAAAGGCAGTTAGCGACAAGAGAGAAGTGAACGAAGCGGCTGTTTTTAACTTTGAAAGCTCTCTGCAATGTATAACCCGTTCTTTTTTTTAATAGATAAGTGAATTAATTACATTAATGAATTTTAATTTCACTTCCTATCATAAGTTCTAAATTACAAGAAAATGCATTTTTTACGGAAACTTGAAGAGATAGGTAAAAAATGATATAATGCAATTTCATAGACAATTAAAATGTGCATGTGATTCTCATAAAATATACAGGGTGTTCCATTTAAATTAAACAAGTTATTGCCGTTTAAAGCTAATAAATATTTAAAATTAATATTTAAACACTCTGTATAAGGTAGTAAAATTTTTATTATTGCAACACAATAACTGATCAATAAATAAACTTCAGTAAATATTTAGTATTAAAAACTTTGATACCCTCGGAGAAATGAAGCCTTAAAATTTATACTGCAGTTTCACAAAACTGAAAATATTTCAAAAACGGCAAGGTCTAAGTGTAATAGACCTTATCAAATTTACCTTTATTTTAATCGTAGAAACTAAAAATGTAATAATATACAGGGTGTTCCATTAAAAAAAATACAACTTTGATATTTTTTATTTATTTGGGACACTCTGTATCTTGTAAAAATATTTTTAAATTGTAGCTCTAATAGTCCTTCAACGAACCCAAAACTTACAATTTGCAAAAATCTAATCGTTTAGCTACAATATTCCGTGTCGTATGTGGTGAACAACCCTGTATATTATCGACACTTAAAATTTATTCTTCAGTTTTACAAAATGTGAAATATGTCAGAAACCTTAGATTTTAGGTATATGCTTCTTTAATAAAACTCACTTTTATTTTTTTCCTACAATCCGCAAAATCAATTAATATATAGGGTGTTCCATTAGAAAAAACACAACTTTGATGTGTAACTTTCTTTGGGGACACCCTGTAAAATTCTATATATTTTTATAAAATGCTCTCAGTTAACCTAGATATGCTGCCAAAATTTCATTTCGATATAAACTACCGTTCTCCTTGGAGCTTCCGCGGCGTATGAGAGGCGCCACCTTGTATAAATCGACCATTAGACTTACGTTAGAGTATTTGAATATAAAGAACAACAGCAATATCGAATATATTGGATACATCACTTCGATTATGTAGGTAGCTATGTTTACACATTCACTACGAACGTCATCTTTCGAGTTCAGTATTATGCCACGATATGTTAGAATTAAAATGCTGTGAATAAGATGACCAAAGCAGAATCCTGGAAAAATGAAATATATTAATAAATGATAAAGTAAACTTTACACATTCAACTACGTAATAAGACACTATTTATGAATCTCTAAACACAGACGTTACAGGGTGGCCCATTAGCCTGAAGATGTCCAATAGCAATTTTCAGTATTCAATAATATTATCACAATCAAAATTTATGTAACCACAAAATACACTTGTCAGACGGCCGTCCATACCTGACTGTTCGTATGGTACCAAAATTGCCGTCTTATACAGGGTGAGTCTTAAATAAGTGCAAATATTTTCAGGTCTGGTATATAGATCTCGATAAAAGAAATGTATTTTCTTTCTGCCGTTTTTCAGATATGTCCAAAATAACTGAGTTATTCAAGTTTTATTTGTTGTTAAATAAAATCTGAGAGCCACCGGATAAAAAATCATGGTGATATCAAAAATTAAGAAACTATAATGTCGGAAAATTGCGGTGAACAAGCAGTTCTAAAAAGTTTTCTAAAATATACAGGAAAATTTAAAAGAAAATGTACGATTTTTAACATCTTTTTTTGCGGAAAAAACCCATAGATGTTCCTGGCGTTGAAATATACCACCCCTAAAATATTTTCACTTATTTAGTCTTTCTAATTTTTTTTCTTACTAATCTTCGTTAACTAAGTTTTTTACTTGTATTGTGTATTATTAGTTTACTTTTTTTATCTGTATTATTACTATTATCTAATAAGTGATAAACTAAGATTTGTCTGTTGACATTCGGTTTGTATATTTTTGGTATCTTTGTTTTGTAGAGTATGTTTGTTTACAGTATGTCCCCGGGTTGTCTTTACAAGAGAGAAAAAAAAACTTTTTTTATTATTGACGTTTTGAGAAAAATACACCCTTCCATACCGTTTTAGAGAAAATTAAAAAAATCCTGAAAATATGGTTGATATTTTTATAAGTCCTAAAAATTAAAACGCGTTTTTATGATAATATAATTTCGATTTCATTCTTTGATATATGGTTATTATTAATTTTGATTAATGTCATATTTTTGTTGTTGTTAAAGTATAACATTTTTCAATAACTATTATCACTTTTCCCATAGCATTAAACTAAATAATTTTTTTCCATAGCAACTGTTAAAATTGCCTAATATATATCAAAAATAGTAGATAAAATAGTACTTTAACTGCAAGAGTAGATTAAATGATATTTTAACAGAGAGGATAGGTTAAAAACTTTATTTCTTCTCGCACGTTTTTTAATTGCTTCCATTTTTAAAAATGTTTGTATTCCTTTTCATAATTTATTCGGAGTTTAAATGGAAGTAGTTTGGATAAGGCGTTTGTCCCAATTCAGCAATCAACACAAAAGAGAATTAAAAAATATTGACTCAAAACTGACAACTAGTGATGTAAACTTTAGTTACTTTTATGGACTCGTAACTACTAGTTACTTTTGGTAATAGGACTCGTTACTTTGGACTCGTTACTTTAGTTACTTTAGTTACTCGTTACTTTGGTACTTAGTATCGTTACTTTATAATCATTGTTTGTGTACAGGTTGGAAGACTTGGGTTTGACGTGGAACTTCGTTACTTATTGTGCGCGGCGATCTTCGTTGCATGCTCGGTTTAACCTATAAGAGGTTTCTACTTTCTTCTAGTGTAAGGGCTTAATAGGATAATTTCAATACTCGGTATTCAAGTACTGAATAATATGTTTTTAATAATATGTATAATATTTTTATAATGATATGTTAAATAAAAGTATGAACTATTAATAAAATTAAAAATAAAAAAAAAACAAATCAAACAAAGAAAATATGTGTATAATAAATATAAAGTATTTTTTTATATTTTCTCTCTCTCTCTTTGTATTACATTAATAAATAGACAAACATTAAAGAGTAAATATTAAAAAAAATGTATATATTTTTGTTAAAATGTAAAAATATTAAAAAAATGTATATATTCCTCTGTGGCGGATTCATCTCTTCAAAAAAGTCCTTTGGGTTAACGCAGCAGTGTTTACTAAAAATTACTATTTTTATTTTGTAGATTTTCTTACAGTGTAAGTGGCGAAATATCTATTCTCTTTTGAAGAAGAAAAATATTTGCTCTGCTTTTTCAGATGTTAACATTTTTTGTGACTAACGTGAATCCATTTTTTATTAATATCTAAGACATGTTAATCTAAATAAACAATTCAATTCTATAAATAAAAAGCGACAACAAACGGCAAAGGGACAGACCGCCTCCGGGTCGGCATGAGCCAATCCCCCCCATAATAATTGTAATAAAAATATCACACATTTGCCATCCAAAACACCGGCCGGCGTCAAGTCAACACAACACTTTAACCATAAACATATTGATAATAGCTAGACCTACGTCGAAGTAAGGAGTCTTCGGTTCGTGCATTTCCAGGGATTACGATTACTGCCGGCGCAAAAGTAACGAATTAGCTTAGTAACGAGTAACGAGTCCTAAATTCAAATAGTAAGCGTTACTTCGAGTCCTCGTAAAGTAACTGTTACTTGTAACGATTAATTTTTACATCACTACTCACAACTAAAGACACAGCTATACTTATTTGTCAAATTACATAGAAACCAACGCAAACCCAGCACAATATTTTTTCTACGTGTAATAAATTCCCTGAAATAATAATTTCTGAATATTTATTAAAACGTAACTCGCTATGGAAAAAGATATTGTTTTATACACGACGATAAAATTGCATTATCGTCTCCCGAAATTAATTCACGAGCGATGAAATCGCGAGACGATAAAATACCATTTTATCGTCTTGTATAAAAAATAACTATAATATTCTTAATTTAAAAGTGTCTATAATTTTCCTTTAACTTGCCAGATTCTAAATATTATCTACTGTAGTACATACCTGTAGCTCCAACTTTTAAGTAGAAATTGCTAGAATGCCTATCTTTATTTAAACAATATCTATGATCTAAATACTTATTTAGAGCAAGAGCTTTTTGTAGATCGGTATTGTAATGCACCCCTTCCTCACTTGATTTTATCTCTAGAGATTCATCTGGAAAATTTTCGGTTAGTTTTTCGAACTGTCCTTTTTTGCGCATATAAATTGAAATATCCACAGTGAGATATAGCAGGTAGAGTAAGGCTACGAGTAAAACAAACAGGCTGAGACCCTAGAAATAAATATAGATTTATTTGACAAATCTGTTTAGGAAATTATAGTTCTAATTACCTCAGCCAAAAGATGCATATCTTGGGATTCTATGTCAAGAAAATCTACTACGTATAACGATACTCCTAGTGTTACAACGAGTACAGCGTATATAATACTTGCAATCGTACTTAGTGTTTCCCTGAAAAATAAATATGATTATATTATATTTTCTGTTCAAAAACCTGTTTTTTTTAATTTTTACATACAAAAAAGAGGTGCTCTTTACATGACAACATTTCTGATTGTATTTTAGGTAAGATATTTGTGTACAGGGTGATAACAAGAGGGTTATTGTTAATAACATTAATAGACAAGATGGCCAAGAGAAACCGCTCATAATTCTGTCCAAGTTTGATCGCCGTGGCTCAAACGGCAACTTGAAATTAAAAAATACCAAAGACTTTTAATGAAAAATAATCCATATAGCAATAAAAAAAAACAGTTCCCAAAATAAACAATGATATTTTTTTGGTTTGGAACAAAAAGAAAATTGATAATAATTTTAATAATCCGTGTTGCCACCTCTAGCCTTTATGCAAGCTTCTATCCGCGCTAACATGCTTCTTATTAAATTATCAACGTTGTTTTGGGATATGTTTTCCCATTCTGCTTATGCTGTATCAATAAGCTGTGCGATATTTCCTCGATTGTTTCGACGAACTCTAACCCTTCTTTTGAGCTGCTCCCACAAGTAGTACTCGATAGGGTTTAGATCTGGTAAACATGCAGGCTAGTCCAAAACTATGACACCTTTAAGACCCCAGAACATTACAATTCCTCTTTTATATCTTACAGATTTAGCAGCGTGGAGTCTCGCTTGTCTTCCTGGAGCTCTGGAAACCCGAATTCGATGGTCATCTGATCTTAGGCCAATTCTGGTCTCATCTAATAAAAGAACATTTTTCCATTTCTCAATTGTCCTGTTTTGATGTTGAAGGCACCAATTTAGCCGATAAATTTTATTTTCCGAGATAACTGTGGGACTCGTAAGTCTCTCCTACTGTACAGCCCACGAGCACGAAAAGTGTTTTTCTTATCGTTTCAACTGAAACGTTCACATTTGTAGCTGCCAGAAGTTGTCTTTGTAGCTCTGGATGAGAATCAATGGGATTTCTTCCAGCAATTTGCACACAAAGCGGTCTTGTTCTTCAGTTTTGACTCTTTGACAACTTTGTCTGGGCCTGTTCTTGAGAGTTCCTTGTTCCAAGTACCTTGCATATGTTTTCGATAGAATACCCAGGATAACACCTACTATCTCTGCTACGTCCATTTGGGGCATTCCTTGTTCAATGAGAGCAATAATATTCATTCCATATCCGTTCAGAATTTTTTATTGTATTGACGCTATACGTAAGCTTCTGTTCCGTATAAGTTCTATACTTTTTATTGTACAATTTATATCATTACGAAAGTTTTATTTAAAAAATTTGTATCCTTTGAAAAAGGTAATAGATTTAATTAAGAGGTAAAAAAATGAATAAATACCAGCAAAATTTTAATTGAGCTGGTACAAATGTAAGAACTTGACAACGCTGTTTCCGATACGCTACAGTCCGTCCGGCAATAAAACGTATGGAAGGAAAGAATATGGAACGGAAGGGAAACGGAACGCAGAGTGTGCATTGTCCTCTTCATTTACATGCTATAATATTTTATGTAAATGGAAGGGAAACCGAAGGGAGCTGATACGGAAGGTATAGTGAACCTACCTTTAGTGTCAGTTCTATCCGCTGCAGGTATTGTTATATCCATGAAAGTCAAAATGTTAACAATCACTAGTAACTACTTACATTCACTAATATGTTGACAGTATGCCAGTAAAAGTGCAACAACTAATTTTTGAAAAAAAAAATACTAGTGAATGCTATAGCATTCACTGGTTTAAAGCAGAACTCAAGAATTTGGAAGACTCCATCCGTAACGTCGAATGGGAATCCTCCAACGGTCTAAGACACTCTTTCTCAGGATATACGACCTACAAAATCAAAGATATTCCTTGATTTAAGTGAGAATAATCTTTAGATTGTCAAGGGGTTTTTAACAAGACTCTGTCTTCTCAATGAACACATGAACACGCCAGTATATTGGAGCTTAGAAACATCGGCAAATGCAGATTCTGTGGGGAAAATGGGGAAACACCAGAACACTTCATCAGTAAATCCGCCGAGACGGTAGTTATTCGTGCAATAAGCTTTGATACGACTGATATCGGAGGTGGAGAACTAACCTCTATAAAACCGTCTCAGATACTGGTTTCTGTCAAATCCCTGAGACTGTATGATGAGTTGTAACTCATGAAATGGGAACACAATAGATCTATATTAGATCTATAATAGATCTTAGATTTTATCTAAATATATCTATAAGGTCAGGGTGATTAACGGAAGTTAATATTGTGTGTGAGGGGGAATCCTTCCCACACAATTTAAAATCCAGCAATCACTGAAGCTGGCCGAATGTGTAATTGTTAGCATTTCTTAAGCTTCATTCAGAACCTCGAAATCAGTGGTATAAATTAAAAATGTTTCAATTAGCCGTAGAAGTTTGTTTACCTAATTATAATGGATTCATAACGTCATAATTAGTGGTAGTAATTTTCAATTATTGGAAAAAGTTAACAAACTTTTGACTTTTCCACTAATTATACTCCAAAGCAAGCGTATCAAAATTCGAAACCTATCGATGTTCACTAACAAACACGCTTGATAAAATACTGGACATACTAAACTGATAAAAATGAGAAATATTTTGTACCAATTCAAAGGTAGATGCCTCGCGACCCGATTTAGATTAAAACTAATGTATTTACTGATAATATTCGGAAACCAGTTATGACCACCTTTTTTAAATTTTGCCACTCTGTGAGCCAGTTGAAGAAGTTGGGTGTAGTCAACCGTGAGGTTATCCACTTAAAATTCGTAGAGGGTGGAACAGGGAGGATGGAAAATATTCTGTCCCCCCTATACCAGGAAGATAGTCCGATATCTGATAGTCAAGCAGCACTAAACGCAATCAACTCAGTAACCATCAATTCGAAGATGGTCAAAGAATGTCTAGAGAAGCTCAACAAATTCGGCAAAGAAAATAAACTCCTCCTACTCTGGGTGCATGCCTGCTCACCAAGGGAGAGAAAACAATGAAAAAGCAAATGATCTAGCTAGAAAAGGAGCAAACACTCCACTAACTGGACCAGAACCGTTCTGTTTCCCAGGCGGAAAACAACTGAAAGCGTATATAATTGCAGAATCTAAAAGACTCCATCCGTAACCCGGAATGGGTGTCCTTCAACGGTCTACGACACTCAAAAAAGTTCCTCAGAACGTACGACCGAGAAAAATCAAAGGTTTTCCTGGATTTAAGTAAAAACAATCTTCGAATTTTTACGGGGTTTCTAACAGGACCCTGTCTCCTCAACGAACACCTCAGTAAGCTGAAGCTGAGAAACAACGGCTAATGCAGATTCTGTGGGGAAAATGAGGAAACACTAGAACATCTTATCACTGAGTGCGAGATCGTCACCAAAGAATATACCTAGCTAGAAAAAGAATGGACTCTGCCATACTGAAAAATGGTCCTACAGAAGTGGCGCCATCTATTGAGTAGGGCTTGTTTTAAACGGATCGAAGCGCGGGCTTTTTAAATGAGGGTATTTATTGAATTTTAGTCTAAAATAATTAAATTTCAACAATACTAATAACAAGTATCGTTGTGATGCATAAAAAATAAGATTCAACAGTATAATTTATACAATTAGTAAATAAAATTAAAGCCAAACATGTTTAAATATTATTTATTATTTAAAGTTTTTATTTATAAGTTAAATATTTAAACATCGTTTATTATAATAAAACAAGACCAACGTAATACACCCAAAGTTTTGTAAATGGAGTAAATATAAATAGGTACTTAAATGATGGCAAAAATAGACTTACATTATATTTTTAGGACCACATACAAAAGGAATTGTCTAATTAAAACACATATAACAAATTATAGTTCGAAAAACGTTTTGATAATCATTTGATAATATTATAATTGGCGTTATGACAACGACAATATTTTTTGAGAATATGACAATAGTATGACAATGGCCATTGGAAACTATGGAAACTACAAAAAAAATTGATTTAACGCCATCTGGCAGTAACTAGTAGCAACTTCTTAACCTAAAAATTAATTGCACTACCACCTAGCGCCTGAGGCAGGAACTATTTTATTTGAAATTTCCGTGGAAACGGTGGAACCGCTTTTGCTATTTCACTTTCGCGTCCCTGATCGTCACCCGTCAAGAAAAATTTTGGTTAGAAATCAGAAGTTTATTGTTTTATAAGCTAAATATTATGCGTTCTCTATGGATACAACAGACTATCGCAAGCTGTTGCTAGGATATTTTATTAATTTTAATTGTGTTTTTTAGACATTGTGAATGATCGTAAACTAATTGGGAGGTTCTGAATGAAGCTTTAGTGATCATTATTTCCTGGATTTTCCACTTTCACTGTAATTACATTTACTTACACAAACATTCTTCTCCTTTCCAACGGTGTACTAGGTGGATGTGATTCCGAAATAAAGCTAGATGGTGACTTGCGAAGTGTACCATTAATAACATCACCACTAGATTCTACAAAACCATTATTATTATATGTCCCATGGCGGAGTGCGCTGCTTATTGATGTCGTTCTTACTAGCTCATTGTATGGATTGAAATCGTCTGGGTGGCTTGAAATTGGTCGCCTGTTATTATGCTCTCGAAAACTACCTGTAAGCACAATATTATATAGAAAATGGTTTAAAGTTTACAATTATTGACAAACATTACCATCGTATGATGCAACTGAAGATAAAGGTCTGGATCTGTTTATAGGAAGAACTAATGTCTTGTCATTTTTAGATTCCTGAAAGATAGAATTTATATATAAATTTGATATAGCCTATTTTAAATTTAATATGAAGGCGGGTACATATCAAATACTCTGGGGCCAACTTTCAAATTTTTGTAATTGTACAGGGTGAGTCAACGATAGAATAAAATCTCATTTGTTTCGAGTTTTACAAAAAAAAAAATAAATAGAAAAGTTATAGGGAAGGTTAAGGTACACATTTTAAAATTATTATATAGTGTACAAGGTGTCTCAAAACAGTGTGGCGGATATAGCATACATTTTTTTAAATGCAACACCCTATTTTTTATTTTAATTTAGATTCTGCGTAAAATTTCATAACTTTTTATATATAATGTTATATACCTAAAATTAATAGTTTTTGTAATATTTAAATTTGTTTAAACAAATGTTAGATTTCTATGTGGTAAAAAAATTGCAGTGGTGCCATTGTTTCTGAAGTTGGAGTACCAACATTTGGTAGGAGAGTTTTATAAAGATGGAGAAAGATATATATTAGTTAAATGCCACAGGGTGTTCAAAATATATTTATGAATTTCAACTACTGAAAATTAAAAAATCTCAAAATTTTTAAATGGTACACCCTATATATTATTATTTTTTCTGATAGATTTTTCGAAATTCTTAAACTTTTATTAAGTATGTCATATACCTATCTTTAATAGTTTATTATAATATACCAATTTTTTCTATTTTTATCCATATTTTTACACATTACATCATAGTTGCTATGATAGAAAGTAGTAATTATCAAAATTTCATGTCTGTTAAGCAACTTAAATACAAAACTTGAATTTTAGTTTAATTTGTTAAACTAGGTAAGGGTGTTCAACTAGGTAATTTAATATTGCCCTAATCTATGGCTATTCGCTCCAAGGGAAAATCAAAGGGTCATCTTTCATAATAGATATAGAAATACATTAAAAAATTCACGACTGTGATTTTAGTTTATTTGGTTATTAATATAAACTAATAATAACAATTATAACTAATTACTAAACTACTTGTTAATGATAAATAACAAATATTTTTGTTTTGTCATGGCAACTATGATGTTGTAACATAAATGAATTAAAACAAAAGTAAAAATTGAAAAATTCAGAATTATTCGCAAACTGTTAAAAATAGGTATATGGTATACTTTATAAAAGTTGAAGAATTTTGTAAAAACTATCATAAAAAATGATAATATATTGGGTGTACCATATAAAAAATTGCGATTTTTTAATTTTAAGTAGGTAGTTGAAATTCATAAATATATTTTAAACACCCTGTAACATCTAACTAAAATATCTTTACATATATCTTTTTCTATATCTCTATAAAACTCGCCTACCAAATTTTAGTTGTCCAACTTTAGAAACAATGGCATGACTGACAATTTTTTATCACACTGAAATTTAACATTTGTTGAAATAAATTCAAATATTACAAAAACTATTAATTTTAGGTATATAACATTATATATAAAAAAGTTATGAAATTTAAAAACAAAATAAAAAATAGGGAGTTGCATTTAAAAAATCATGTTATACCCGCCACGTTTTTTAGGAAGCACCCTGTATACTCTGTAATAATTTTAAAATATGTATCTTAATCTTCCCAACAACTTTTATATTTAACTTTTTTTGTAAACAGCGAAACAAATGAGATAATAGACTTTACTCTATCGTTGACTCACCCTGTACAAGAGCAGGTTTACAAACATAAACATTGTATATATTTGAAAACCTGCTCTCCACACAATTGCAGCCTACATTAACAACAGTTAAAACCTCAAAATATTAACAGACGTTTGTAAGTGTACGGATACAAAGAAAGCTGGTTATAAGCGCTCATTACCAGCGCCTACAAGTCGTCTCAATAGTAAACAATGAACTTTTTTTTCATAAACTCCACAAATTGATATTACAGAATTATTGTTCATGTCCATATGTAAAAAAAACAAAAAAATACACGTTAATAAAGTATTATTTGTTAATAATGGATTTTCCGTTTACCACTTTCATTTTTATACCAGCGATTTGTTTAAAACATTATTTATTTGTTTTTTATATATCGACTAAATTGATTAAATAAAAATATCTTGCTGCTGTCTGTTCGAATTTCCCTTTGGGATAAAGGAACCGTCACTTTAAAAGCGTTCCGTATTTTTATAAGCTGGAGAAACAACAAGCGTCTAAAACGAAAAAAAAAGATAAATGACCCAAATCTAACAACTCGGCGTCCTTAAGTGGTGAAAATTTCCTTTTCAGTTTGTCGATTTCGGAGAAAATTGTGAAAATACGGATGAAATTCGATTGACTTTAATCAAGTAAATTTACAATTTCTTTACTTAAAGTCTCTCCAGAAAGTGCTCACTGTTATCTTCTACAATATGAGTTTTACTTCATCAAAAAGATAATAATAAAGTTTTATTTATTTAGATAGATTATTAGTGGTAAATTATATTATGTCCTTCTTATACAGGGTGGCGGCCCATTAGTGCAAGGAAGTATCGTAATTATATCGCCATTATTGTTGACGATAAGCAAATATTTTTATACAGATGTTGCATGTTTTATAATGGTGCATGTGCATATCCTGATAACATTTTGTTGTATACAGGGTGTCATAAAAAACTGATGATAAAGTTTTAAGTTTTTTTAAATTGCACTCCTCATCTTTTTAGTACACTCATCATTTCCTTTTTGTTAAAATATATATTACTAGTTGAAGCCTGGCGCATCCACCACGACATCAGGAAAAAAATACTTTTTATTTTATTTTTTTAATTAAATGAAAAATAAAAAATCCGGCTACGACAGTTTTTAGAAGAGCCAATTAGCTATCTTTTAGTAAAAAAAGCAACTTTCTAGAGCAATCGTTACTTCAGTAGAGACGACACAGATAAATATTAGCATTTTATATGTATATGTAGATGATTAGATGGATAATTAAAAAATTAGTATTTTTAGAATTTAAAAGTATCGGTAAAACGGTTTCGCAAATATGCGCGTTTTTATTACATATAGCATTAAAAAATAATTTCGATCCACTTTTTGATACAGGGTGGTCCGAACTGTATTCCGGAAACTTCGGCAGCACATTCTGCAGATAAAAATAAGTAAAAAAATTCGTATAAATATATGTCCTAAAATGCTTAGTTTCGGAGATACAGGGTGTAGAAGTTTCATTTTTATTTAGATTTTTTCTAAATAATTGCTGAAGTAACGTCAATATTTGGATGAAAATTGGTTCCTAGGAGTTTTTTGACATGAGAAATTTTATTTTGATGTCAATACGACTCCTGTTGGTGGGGGTGCTACCTACATGTATTTCAACTGTTTTGAAGAGTAATAACTTTTCGTCCGTACCTGTATAAAACTACTGAGTAAAAAATATACATTTTCGTGACATTTTACGTAAAAAACTCTTGGTAAAAATCGCTACGAGCAACCGTTTTCAAGATATTTCGAATGGAAATAGTCAATACCTACATGTCATTACTGACAAAAAAATAAACACGTTGAGTAGATAGTTAGATTGAAATAATAAATTTGGAAAATTTTTATTTTTTAAATTAATCATAAATTTTTCTGCGGAAAAATGATGATAAAACAGTTTCTGTTGAACTTTTGATACAAAAATATTTCAGATTTATGATTTCAGTCTAATAACTATTTAGTGAACATGTTTAATTTTCATGTCAGTGATGAGAGGTATAGATAATTTCCAAATATCTGGAGAACCATTACTCGTAGCAATTTTTAGCAAGAGACCTTTTTTACGTAAAAATCCTCGTAAATGTATATTTCTTTACTCAGTAGTTTTATACAGGTACGGATGAAAAGTTATTACTCTTCATAACAGTTAAAACACATGTAGGTGGCGCTCCCTACAAATAAGGGTCGTATTGACAACAAAATCAAATTTCTCATATTACAAAACTCCCAGCCACCCATTTTCATAAAAATATTGACGTTATTTCAGCAATTATTATGAAAAGATCGAAATAAAAATGAATAGTTTCGGAGATACAGGGTGTAGGAAACCCTGTATCTCCGAAACTAAGCATTTTAGGACATTTATACGAACATTTTTACTTATTTTTACATGCAGAATATGCTGCCAAAGTTTCCGGTATACAGTTCGGACCGCCCTTATACTTGTAGAAAGAACAAGCAGGCCTTAGAAGCGGCTTCACCCCGATTGGTCACATACATACACTAAAAAAACTAACAGCCGAACAAAAGAATACGAACTTCCACTAGCCATAGCCTTTATAGGCTTTAAAAAGGCTTTCCACTTGATATATCTTAAGGCAATAATAGAAGCTCTAGCGAAACAAGATATTAACAACCCTTATAAAAAAACTCCCGCTAATATAGCTAAAGCAAAAGTAATGGTATATAAAACAACTCCAGAGGTCCCAACTGGCAAAGTAGTACGACAAGATGGCGCGATATCCCCAAAGCTGTTTACAGCAACATTAGAAGAAATATTCCGTGGACTGGACCAACAAAAATTTAAAAATAGATGGAGAATATCTTATCCATCTAAGATTCGCTGATGACAGTCCTAATCCTGAAGAACTACAAGCACAAACTAATGAACTAAATACAGCCAGCAATAAAATGGGTTTCACAAAGGATTTGGCAAAAACTAAAGTAATGTACAAGAAAACTAGTGGAAAGAAAAGACATTTTAATAAAAAAACAACAACACTGGGAATAGTAGAAGAATATATATATTTAGGACAACTAATACACAGCTCGGGATCTCTACTACCAGAAATCAACAGAAGAATTAAGTTAGCATTGAGTACTTATGGAAGAAACTCAATCATATTCAAATCTAGAATCCCATTCTATCTAAAGAAGAAAACATTCGACCAATTGTGACTTAGGCATGAAAAACCTGGACACTTAAAACGGACATTATAAAGAAACTGCAGGTCGCATCACGTTCAGTGGAACGAAATATACTGGGAATACCCAAGAGAGACAGTAAAAAAGTGGATACGACAAAAGACCAAAGTAAAAGTAAATCGCAATGGGCAGGATACCTGGCAAGAAGAACGGATATCAGGTGAACCACAAAAATTACAGCATATGGTACCCACGAGGAATTAAGAGACTTAGAAGAAGACAGAATAACCTGAGATAGGACCATGATATTAGGAAATTAGCAGGGATAACTTGGACCCACATTACCAACAATGGACCCAACTACAAAGAGAATTTATAAGGGAAGCTATATCATAATTGGAAATGGTTGAATAAGCTGAAATGATAATGATGATGATGATATACTATGGGGAAATTAAAATACCTTTCGTTGCACATCATAATACGACCACCAGCAAACTCCATAAGACGACGCACGGTGTTATTGATGACGTGCAACGAAAGTTGTTTTAATTTATGTCTACTTTAGGTTATATTAGTGTATGCATTTTTGAAAGAATAATATATTACACATACCTTAGGGTAGTATTTTAAGGGTTGCGATCTGTATTTTACCAGATCTGATGTTGAGTGTGAATGTTGTGATCGTAACGTGCTTGTTCTATTATCCATGTTGTTATCGGTCCGACGAGGATACCTTAAAACGACTTCTGAAGATACTTGCGAATCCGTAACTTCTTCTGCCACTGGAATTGGAGGGGTAGGATAATTTGGTGCCTGTAAATAATTAAAATTCAGTTAAAACATTTTTTCTTAATATAATATATTTAGTTAAGAATAGTTATCATTCAATATAAATATAACAATGTTAATATTAACTAAGAAAAAATAAATAAAATGCTTGTTTAGTTCGCTCGATATGATTTGGTATAAGAATGAAGATAATACTTTTATTAATTGAATTTTATAGAATTATATCATTGGCGGAAATTCCCTAAGACCTAAAAAAGGATAAAGCTTTTGTTTCTTAATGAATTTAATCAGTTAATCGTATAATGTATTTAATATAGGATTAACAAAAACTAATTTACTTCCATTTGAGATGTGTAGACTACCTGTTTAAGTAGATCAATCTTAAAAAATAATAAATTGTACATATCATCAAAATATAAATATATTTTCATAATCATAAATCAATGAATCATCTTCATTTACAAAGATAAAAAAGTATTGTTAATACGAGTATCTATTAATGATTCTGTATAAAATTTATTTGAATAAAAAATGGAACAGGTACATGCAGTGTTATCAGAAGGGTTTGGCATGCAGGCATTGTTGACAGATCTACAGTTTTATAGAAATTATCTGTTATACAGGGTGAATCTAAAATGAGTGCGCATATTTTCACAGGGCTGGTAGATCTCGATAAAAAAGACACATTTTCTCTTTACCTTTTTTCAAACAAGTCGAAAATAGCGTAGTCATTTTACTTTGAAAATTTAGAAAACAATCGTTATTAAACAATAAGGTAATTAAGGGCTTATTTTTTGGTATTTATTATAATTTTGCTAATACCTTCGGTTTGAAAGAATATATCATGATGCGGTTTTCGCTTACTTTTTAAGCTTTTACTACTCTTTATTCTCAGCTAAAATTACATATACTATCGTATTTATTTATTTTTTTTGAAAAAACGCGCTATGTTTGTTAAATTGTAAGAAAGCGCCCCCTAGCGTCTACGCTCAAAACCTTATTATTATTATTTTTATGGTATAATATAGACTAAGAAACGCTCTTTTAAACGAGCACTCGTTTGTTGGATTCTGATAATCCAGTCCGGAGTTATTAACATTTAAATAAAGATAGATCTAACCTTCCCCCCGCCACTTTATTTTAGCAGATAGGGGAAAATGGTTCTAACAAAAAAAATCCAATATTTGCTGAAGATTATGAAGCTATTATTTTTAGTACCCATTATCTAGACAAAATTCTGTAAAAATTCTATTTTCTTATTTTCCATAGCAGTTGCGCCCCCTAGCGGTCGTTTTACTAACTTGAAAATAATTTCCAGCAATTTCTCTTAGCTCCTTTAGTTATAAATATTTTTTACCGTAAGTCCTACGGCTAATACTTTCCGAGATACAGCCGAGAGCTATTCTTAGTGGGACACCCTGTACATAATGTACTTGTGAAACACTGATGACACACATAACAAGTACATGCGAGAGGTAGCCAATGCTTCGTATAGACTATGGCACTGTAGGAAGTATACTAGAGAAACTATTTTTGTAATATTATTTTTTTAAACATCCCACTTCTGTAATTAATTTATATCGTAATAAACTTAGCCACATTAAAAATTAAAATTAATTAATTACGAGTTTACGTTTAATGTTTGAATAAAAATTTAATTAATAATGTTATAATATATATAATGCCCAAATTTGCAAATTATTTATAATGCTGATATTTTACTTTTTGTTTAACGTATGATTATTAAAAATGTCATATTAATTAATCTAATAAATATCTAATAGAATTGAAATTAAATAACTATCTGACAATCTATGATCAAAGAAAAAAAATACCAATTAAAAAGGATAATGGTGGAATTTTGTGGATGAAGTTAGACGGTAAATGTCATGGAAGCAAATGTCATTAATGAAAAATTCAAGTTTTTACCAAAACTTTGTATTAAAAGGCCTATTTTCTTGTACTAATACATTTTACCCCCCATACTTATGTATGTATGGTTCCCACCCACAGTATCTTGTTCTCACCACGAGAAGGGGTGAAAAATTTTGTTTCACCCCTTCTCTGCTTACGAAAATACTGGCTATTTCTTTGTTCAGTACAGTCTGAGCATGTTGAGTGTACTCCTCGTACACCCGAAAATCGGAACCCAAAGCAAAACCTTACTGTACACTGATAAAAAAGATAGACTTGAACTAAAGTCGTCATCGTTCTTGACAAAAAAATTAGTGGCAAGAGAATTTATATTAGCGTAAAAGAAAATAATTTGCCTGAAGAAAAACTCTCTTAACTCAAGAAAGCTGGTTCTCCTGAAAAATTCGAAAATTTCTCTTGAATCTATTTTCATTCAACCAAGTGCAAGTTACTTTGTTTTAAGATAATAAGAAAAATACGTTAGGAAGTACTTCATTCAAGAAACATGGCCATTTTTCCAATAGCTAAAATACTCTTTTGATGAAAAATAATAACGACACACAAAGACGATGACGAAGGACGGTATATTACAATCAGTCGGCAGTCCGATCAGTCGTACGTCAGATTTCATAGATCGCACATATATAGTACGCACGGGTTTTGTTACTTGGAATTTTGCATAATTTGCTTTTTAAACGCATATCGTATAACAAATTAGTGATCGTTATTAACATGCATTTGTCATTTTTTATGCACAAATTTTAGGATATATGGATTATTTAAAGGAGGTTCTGAAAAAATGGAAATTAGAGCATTTATTTGCTATATTTGAAGGTAAGAGATATTTACCTAATGAACCTGTATAGATAATGCATGCGTGACTATAGATAGAATAAGAATATAGGTATCGATTTTTTTATGCAAATAATTACAAAACTTTTAGAATTTCAAGTCGTCAAAAATCAAAATGTGACCAAAGCTTATAATTTTAATAATTTATTTTCTTTACTTTGATTAATCGTGATGTAACATTTTTTTGTAATTTGTAGAGTGATGAACCACCCTAAAAATACCAAGGAGTGAAGAAACAGAAATAACTACTATCGAGGAAAATAATATCAGTTTACTTTTACTACAGACCAGGAAAACCTAAATTTATCAGAAAATAATATACCTCGTAATATGTCTGTATATATGATGTATAGAGTTCTCTTATATCAAAATAAATTTTAGTTGAGTCAATAGTATTCGCTATTGGTTTAAGAAAAGTGTCTCTATAATCAAGAAATGTCCCTTTTCAATCAAGAAATTTTGCATGAATCAAAGAGACTATTGTTCCCTCGATTGTTCCTGTACCAAGAACTTCTTTGCATATTCATTTTGGGTCAATAGTGAAATACTTTGGACAGATAGATTCTTCTATTCTCTAAAGTAATTTTTAAAGCTTATGAAAAGATAGTTAATGGGCAAAAAGATAGTTAATAGGCAAAGAAACGTCGTTCTTGGCCCTATTGAAAAGCACCAATCTTTTGGGTCAAAGTCATATCCATTTCGACTGAGAGATCCTTTTTTTCAGTGTATATTATTAATTATCAGAAAAGTACATTTTGTAATTTTGGACCACCATTCCTTTATTTGCTTATCTTATCCGCAAAACAAATATTTTTTTCTTGATCTTATATACATGTATTATGACAAATATAGAAATATAAATGAAAATAATTTATGACCTTTTATTCCCTTGTTTTTAAAAACTTGTAATAAACACACATAAAATACCATATATCTAATCGTCCTGGAATGTTTTGTTACAATAATTAAAATATATATAATTTATACTGTTGTTACTTAATACCGGACGTCTTCGTATAGAATTTTAGTAAGCATTAATAGCAAAATGGTAACATACCTACATCATTTTGGGAATTAGACTCTTTTAGACAAAGTTACTATTACTATTGACCAAACCAAACCGAACAAAAAGGAGAAAAATCGATGTTATGGATGTGATATGATGTTGTCTTCATATAAAAGTGAATGTATATAGTATGAGCGAGGCCAGCGACTGATCAAGTAATGAACAGCAATCAAGTGAATACTATTCTCAGTTCAACTAATTCTTTTGATCATTCCAATTCAGAAAAAAATAAGCATCTTTTCCAAACCACATAAATTCTTGTAAACAAAATTAAATGTGACATCGAAAATCATATTTTTGCTGGTATTTTAATTGTAGCTTTCTGCAAATAGCTTTTAGATGTCTATTCCAAATGTAACGAAATTTTAGACGAAAGACGACTTTAACGCCTCTTCAAAAAAGTTTATAGTAATTTTTTATATTTATTTAAGACGATAAAATTGTATTTTATCGTTGACTGAAAAGATTAATTATGAATTAATTTCGGGAGACGATAATGCAATTTTATCGTCGCGTATAAAACAATATTTTTTTTCATAGCGAGTTACGTTTTAAAAAATATTCAGAAATTATTATTTCAAGGAATTTATGACGAGTAGAAAAAATATTGTGCTGGGTTGGCGTTGGTTTCCATGTAATTTGACAAATAAATAAAGCTATCTCTTTAGTTGTCAGTTTTGAGTCAATATTTTTTAATTATCTTTCGTGTCGATTGCTGATTGAATTGGAGCCAGAAATGACTCAAAACGAAGTAAGTAAATTACCAACAGATATTCAGGCTGAGGCGACAAAAGCCATATCCAAACTACTTCCATTTAAATCCCGAATAACTTATGAAAAGGAATACAAAATTTTCAAAAATGGAAGCAATTAAAAAACGTGCGAGAAGAAATAAAGTTTTTAAGCTATCCTCGCTGTTAAAGTACCATTTAATCTACTCTCGCGGTTGAAGTACTATTTTATCTACTATTTTTGATAGATATAAGGCAATATTAACAGTTGCTTTAGAAAACATTAAATTCTCGCATAAAATCATCTGGGAAGATAATATTTTACCTTTTTAAATTTTACATGGGGTTTCCTCTCTCCCGTGTTCCGATGCACGACATGGTATGAAATAAATTGAAATGAACATTTTTAACACAATATCTGAATTAGACCATTTTTGAAACGGTATGTATATTTTCATACTAAGGGCTGGCAAAGGTTAGTCTTGGGTCGAGATTTCCGTATGTAAGAAGAGTACAATGCGTTTATAATGTACCGAACAAAGAGAGGACAGTAAACACGTTGCCAAACGTATGAAATAAACCGAGAGACTGTGCACATCGCTAATAGACGTGGAAGGGGATATAGCAGATTTGTCGCAGTTGACCGGTCGACCCAATCAATAGCTTTTTTCGGGTTCTTGTTATTACCGATTCTGCACCGTCCTAGAGCTCTGCAGCACATGTGCAAATGAAATAATGTCTTCATATTATATTTCCTTCTGCGCATACGCATCACAGTTCTAGGACGGTTCAGAATCAGTAATAACAAGAACCCGAACAAAGCTAATACCTCTGTCAGTACTTAAAGTTCTAGGGAAAGGTGTACGTCATGCGTTCAGTTTCACGATTTAATTACGTCTCGTGATACTTGATTTGTTTATTTATTAACGAGTCGTTGTAATTTTCCCTATAGCTTGAATTTTTTTAAGTGCAAGCTAGAAACACTTGCATTTTTGGTAAAAATAAGTGGAATTGAGTGGGTGTTCGATAGTGGTCGCGCTATTAGAACTCTGAGTTCAAAAATCGATATCTCGGAATCTATTAGAAATAATAGATTGTAGTTTTTTCAAGAACTTTGTTAATATTTCTGCTGTATTTTCTTTGTAGACAGTATGTGAAAATCTTTATCAATAAAAAATTACACGATTGCTGAAAATTGCTATGCTCTAAAAGTAAATGGATGGATTGTTTATTGTTTACAATTTTTGAATGGAAAAAAACAACTTTATCGAATTTTTCTTATGTAAACATACCTATTGTAAAATATCCGGTTTTGAAAATAAAAAAAGTCTCAATATCTAAAGTGGTTTTTGAGTTATGGCCTGTTATGTGTTAAAAAGTTGAGTTTTTAAATTATCGCGATTACTGACGTTTTCTCCTTATAAAAAAAATGACACCCTAACGATATCTTCATAATTCCATTTCAGATGCTCAGAAACATGTCTAATGATTTTATCTAGTTATCTCTTGAAAAAAAAGTCTTTTAAAAATAAGCGGTTTGCGATCGTGATTTTACTTTACTTGATAGGGAAAGGCGTATCGGCAACGCCGCGCCGCAACAGCACACCGTCGCGCGTCGCGTCGGTCGGTCGCATTTCTCTCACTCCGACTTAATAAGATCCCATGCGCTTTATTTCCACACATGTAAATGCCGACTCAAAAGTAACAGTTGCCAGCACGGTATATTATATCACGAGAACTATAAATTTAATCGATTAAACTGTTCACATATATTTTGCGCGTCATTTTGCTTGGAAAATAGTTGAATGCACAATAATTTAATAAAAACCCGAGACCGCGAAGCGGTCGATGGTTTTTATTCTAAAGTTATTGTGCATGAAACTATTTTCTAAAAAGCAAAATCATGCAAAAAATTATTTAGGTAGTTTAATGAATTAAATTTATAGGTTGAGTGATATACGGCTAGATTATTTCCTGAATGACTTAGAAATGAAGCGAATGACTTAAGGTGAAGCAAATAACTATAAGAATTTTATTAACTATAAAATTTAACATTTTCGGACAACATTTTTTTACAAACAATTCATTTTCACTACAGCGGTAAATAAAATTTAAAGCAAAGATCAAAGGCAAAGATTTAAAGACGTTTCAAAATGACGTCTCGTAAGTAATGTTTGTGCTTCTGCTACCTTGGTTACGCATCCCAACAATGCATCGAGGACCGTTTCGCATGTCAACATATCAAATTCTGACGTATTTTTCTCCACTTATTTGTTCAAAATAATATCGAATAAGGGGTTTTCACCGATTAAAATCGTTATTAAGTCATACATAAGAGTTGTAAATCAATGTTTTTAAATGAACTGTTGCCAAAAATCTCTCAGATTTAGTGATAAACGACAAAAAGAAAACCCAAAAGGAAAACTGGTCTTGGGATCTAATCACTTGTCTAAACAAAATTTATTCGAAAAATTAGATTAGCTGATTGGTCCATTTCACGATGAGGGAAATTAGAATTTACGTTTACTTCTTCCAAGTTATCTTCTTCTTTGCTCTTTGCATTTTCCTGGGAACAGTATTCCCGCTGTGTTAGATTTGTTCGCAGCTCAGTCTCCGGAAAGCCTATACCGAATAAGTCAACAGTCTAAAGAATGAACTAGGCACATAAATTCTTGTAAACAAAATGAAATGTGACATCGAATTTAACAATGATAATATGTTTTTGGTAATGAACTGAAACTTACGTTTACTTCTTCCAAGTTATCTTCTTCTTTGCTCTTATCTTTGATATCATCTTCATTCTTCTTGATGATCTTGAATTGTTCCACGTTTGGTATTACAGCAGCAAAACTAGCCAGACGATACGGATTTTGCACTTCGTCAGTAACAGGGTTCTCACCCATCATAACCCGATCAAAATCCAGCACCAACAAACGTATCAAACTGGGCGCCAATTCTGATCAGTTTTCAAGACAATTTTGCGAAGAAATAATACTATTTTCAGGTCGACTGATCTATGCTGGCTACGTCAACAGATGATAAAGGGATTATCGAATAGATTGGATGAATTTATGATTCAAGTGAACAATTAGAAGTTGACACTGTTTATTTAATGTGATTTATTGACTTTAGGTGAATGTGTCGATTAGTACCTACCGTTGTGAATAATGAAAATTTATAATCGATTGGCGCTAGTTTTGTTTAAAACAATATGTTGTAGTCATACCGTCAGATAAGGCTGGTATGTATTGAGCGAATTGAAAAATGTTTTAAATAACGCCTACAAACAGACATGCAGTAGTAATGCTTTAAAACAATAAGAAGACATTGTGTTCAAACATACAGTTGGAATGTGTAGGATAAGCAGTATCCTCTGTACGATAGAAAATAAAATCTTTTTAGGTGGAAAATTTTAGATCCAATATGTCGCATGTACAATAAATAATTTTATACTTTTGAATTGATTTTCCCTTACGTTTAACTCAAGTGCTGTATGGTGGAGCCTCTACTCGTTCTGCGGCCAACGCATAAAACACTCATTCTCTCCAATTCGGCTAGCGAAGATATATGGAAGACAGTGTGGAACTGACAGCGACAGTGTTGCCGTATTAAAATGTGTAATATCTGTAATAAGTTTGACGAAAATATCTTTGGATGAAAAATCCGCGTTTATGCATTGAAAATTTATTCGTGTTAAATATAGAATAAACAACAAAAATAAAAATTCGTTCATAGTTACTGAATATTTCGTATTCTTGAGAAAGTCGTTTAGTTGGTTTGGAAATGACGACATATACCATAATATTTTCCATATGAAATAACAGCGATTTTCATTTCCAAGGCAACTCTGATGCCGTTTTTTGTTTAATCATATAATATATTAAATTGTTTAATGATAGAAAATTCGTATTATTAAACGTACTGTATCCAAAGTCCGTAAATCTACGGATTAATAGTGGAGTGTTCGCTCCTTTTCTAGCTAGATCATTTGCTTTTTTATTGTCGTCTGTCCCTTGGTGAGCGGGCACCCAGAGTGGGAGGACTTTATTTTCGTTGCTTAACTTGTTCAGCTTCTCTAGGTATTCTAAACTTTAAGAATATGGGTAAGTCAAAGATGCAAATGACTAAAATAAAGAGGACACATTTCTTCAACATTCAAATTAATATACAGATACTAATATACTATAATTACTCTATTTTTAAGGCTTCATTTCTCCGAGGATATCAAAGTTTTTATTTAGTTTATTATTTAATACTAAATATTTACTAAATATTTACTGAAGCTTATTTATTGATTCGATTTTATCGATTTTTTTATTGATTCGCCGATTTCTTAATAAAGAAAATTTATTTATTATTATATCTGTAAAATTATCAGATTGTTGAAGGGCTATGAAAATATCTCTTTCCATTCAAAGTAAGGCACGTGACGATAAACGTTTAGTTTTCATTGAATTTCTAGTGTAATTTTTAATGAATTTCAAACATGAAAAGTGTCTCTCAACCGAAGTACTTGTAAATGGTATGAATGTATTTATACGTCGCATAAATCGTATGAATAGGATTATCATATTGAAAATCAAAATTAATTGCTCCAAATTTGAATCTAAATTAATACTTATCCATATAACATTGTTAACTGAGAAATTAACAACCAAATGCAGTGTACACTAACAGGAACACCAAATGCACTGTACACAATAATTCAAGTCAATAATAGGCAGTCGACAAACACATTTTAATTAAAGTTTTAAATACTGATAACATATGATGAATAATATAATATGGGAACCACCGAATTTCTAAAACCTATCGAGCTTCACGCGTAAGCTGAGAACTGAGGCGACCGAAGATATCGCCTAAACCCCGCCTTAATTCGACGTAGTCATCGATTTTCGTCGCTACAGAGCGATGAGTCAGAGAGAGACAAAAACACACATCGACGGCTGAGTGGGAGCTAAGAGTGGGAGATCAAAATTTAATTTGAAAGGCGATGCTAGAAATCATAGACAAACAGAAAAATTAAAAGACTGCCAGAAGACATACGACGCGCAGGCAAATGTACCTGTAGCGCATCGACGCAAGTGCCGAAATACGTCCATCTAGCTATCTGTGTTTCGACACTAGTCCGTTAGTCTTAGCATATTCAGAAAGAACACGCTAACCTCCAGCGTTGCCAATTTGTGGGGAATTCCCCAAATTTTGGGGAATCCGGAGCCGATTGGGAGTTTTGTTGGGATTTTAGCAATAGGGGGCGAAAATAAAGGGAGTTTCAACATTTTATTGCTGATTATAAATGGCGTAAAATTTTTAGCTTTAAAAACGGAGCGGGACGATATATCTTTCCCAACTTAAAAATTATAATCTGCTTTTTACTTGTGCTTCCCTTTGCAAATGCTTCAGTTGAAAGAAAATTTAGTGACCTCAAATTATTTAATGACTACTAGGGAAGGGATTAAAAAACAAGGAGGTAATTTACAGTTTAATCTCTCATATATAATAAATATTTTATTTTTATTAAAATTATTTTTTTTTGTTAAAATAATCATATGGGGAATTTTTGGTGAATCGGGACATTTTTCTCCCCAAATTGGCGAATTTAATTTAGATTTTTGGGTAGTTTAGAAAATTGACATTGGCAACGCCGCTAACCGCATTCTTTTGTTTGTTGTTTGTTCAAAAAGCGGCACGCGGCGTAGTACAAGGCTTCATCATTTTTTAAGAAATTTTTGATTGTTAATTTTATTTTTCTGCAAACTAAACAGTTGTTTTTTATTAAAAAATAGCAGACAAAGGTAAGAAAGGTAATGTCCATGCCTAAGTTTTTATTTCACTGGCTATTCTTTCTAGAAATTATACCATCCTCCTATTTAATTATTAAATGAAAGTGTGAAAGAGATATCAAGGGCAATTCTGTTAAAATATCATCCGACCAGTCTAGGCCCTGTTGTGAACCAGAAGGTCTGCTAAGTTGGATGTTGGATATAGAATGGAAGGAATATCATGGCCGAGAACAAGGCATAATTGTATGTCCCTTGATGTAAGGGGGTAGGTTTGTTTCTAATAGGCAGTAAAACCAAAAATTCTACTGTGATTCTTCATATTCTAGGCCTATAAAGGTAAATAATTCCTGGAGCCATCTCGAGGTATAGTACTCAAGTCGGAGCGAATCAATTGATAGCACGATGAAAAGAAATAATAGCCATCATAAAACTGTAAATATGTATATAACTAGTACAATGTAGCTATTTAACTGTAAGTACAATGTAGCTAGATATAATACCCCTATTCTAGTAGAATAGGGGTATTATAAATTAATACAAAATACAATAATTGGTCATTCTTTCCATTCCCATTCAATTCTTCCCATTTAATCGTTTTCCCATAAAAAAAAGGAAAATTAAAATTAAGAGTGCCCTTAACCAAAAATAGTGAAATAAATGGAGATAGTCAAATTTTATATTAGCGTGTAAGACTTTGAATAAAAAGGTGTAAAAGGATTATAAATGCTGTATTTATATCCTTTAGTATCATGATAATATAAAATTTGAGTAGGTATCTCCATTTATATCACTGTTTTTGGTTAAGGGCACTCTTAGTTTTAATTGCCTTAAAAATAATAATTTAAATCTCCCGCTCTTTCATAGTTCGTACCTGTAGCCAAGTAGAGGGCGCTAAAAGCGCAATCTCCCAACATTTTACCACGCGATTCACCACTCTCTAAACTATTAACTTTCTCTATGCTAGAAATCGCCGAACAAAGACGGCAGGCATTATACTCCAACGGTCAAAATCATTTTGATTTCTAACGCTGCCATACGCCAGCGGTAGTTAATATATTAATATAAAAGACTACAAATATTAAAATAATATTAATTGTTACAACTCATTTCCGTGTATTAATAGTATTTATATATGTATTGGCAACATTAATAGAGTAAAATAAATATTATAATGTAAAGAAAAATCTGAAAAAATTGTAGGGTAGGCGCCGCCTACCTTGCCTACCCTGGCGAGCCGCCACTGTACCGTGGAATACTTCAAGTACAGCAAGATCAGAAAATAAGCACCTAAAATATAATCCAACAAATTAGATATCATTACAACCGGTCCAGCTGTTCTTCAGTAGTTATAAATGTGGTAAATACACTAACTTAATGTATTTACCATATTTATAAGATATGTGACAAATACAAGGTACGATTTTAAATTCTCTATTTAGATTTAAAATTAATGAAATTTCATTATGTGTAATGCTTTCATTATCATCTTGTATATAATGATAAACTAAACTACAAAATAAAGGAGTGCCGAATAGCATCTTCAGATTTGTTCACTGTATTATAATGATAATTATTCATGATCATCCGATATAGAATTACTAACTATTATCTTATTTATTATATCGCTCTGGTTTATTTATCAAATATACATACTATTACTCCCGGATAGTTGCATTAAATGTATGTATGTATATAATAATAATTGATGATATTACAGTATATTAACACTTATCTAGAGATAAAAAACATTCTCCTGCGATAATGTGCCGACACAATTATTTCCAAGTAGCAATTAAGTAGCAGCAATATATCAACTTCCTCTAAGTTAATAAATAGTAATTAACATGACTTATTGTTATTTGATAAGGGATTATAAAAGTACTGTATAAAATAATATTTTGACAGATCGTGTAAAACTAAAAAAAGTTTTAATACATGTGCGTTTTAGAATTTTGATCAGCTGGGAAATATAAAAAATAATGGAATAAAAATTTTAGTAAATAGATTAATTATTAGGGATTGTATCAAAACTTCCCTCTAATATCATCTAAAAGTATCGTGCCGAACTAACAAAACAGTAAAAATAGGAAACTGTCCAGAAGGCCTAGATTTCGTGTTTGAGATCGATAAGTAAGTAGAGGCCCTGAAATTATCGATTTCCTGAAAAACGTTTAGGTTAAGTCATGAAAGCACCAGATGGCGCTAACTTGGATTCTTTTTCATTTGAATTGTTTTTACAATTCGCTATTAAACAACTTAATAGTTATTTATTACATACATAAGTGTGTTAGAAATATTTAGATCGATGGTTAAATTGGAAAATACACTCACCGGTACGAAAAAC